ATTGAACACGGAGTACTGAGCTACATCCCCATTCTTTTTTATTTTCTTAAATTTTGAGACAGGGTTTTGTTAAGTCGCTCAGGGTGGTCTTAAACGTGATCCTCCTGCCTCAGCCCTCTACGTAGCTGAGAGTACAGGCCTTGCCATCACGCCCAGTCTACTGTTTGGCCCTTTACAGACGAGGTTCACTGATCCCTGGTCTAGGATAAGATAGGACACTGGGTGACCCTTGACATCTCTTCTGGGTCTCAGATTCTGAAATGTATTGGAAGTGAGGTAGGAGCACAGGCCTCACGGGCAATAGCGACTTTTATCACAACTGTAAGAAAATGAGTGTTATCAGGAGAGCCTACAGTTTGGCCGGGAAACACGGGACTAGAAGAAATAACCCACTAACATTTTTTTGCTTTTGGAGACAGAGTCTCACTACGTAGTTCAGGGTGGCCTGAACTTCCTATGCAACCCAGGCTGGCCTAGAACTCATGGCCATCCTCCTGCCTCAGCCTCCTTCCCTTCCTCCCTCTAGCCCTCTGTTGCTGGGGATCAAACCCAGGGCCGGACACATGCTAGACAAATGCTATGCCATGGAGCTGCACCCTCAGCCCACTGTTTCTTCTGTTTCTGACCTGTGCATGTCTTCTTCACACACCCTAGGCAGGCGAGGTGTTAGCTACTCTCACTCTGATGCCCTCTTACAGTAGTCTGATGGCAGAGGCCTAAGATGCCAAAGATCCAAGATGGTGTTTTTTTAAAATTAAAATGATAATTATTTTTATTAAAATTATTTGTTTTGGTTGGTGTGGGGGGGTACTGGGGATCCACCCAGGGCCTTTTTGTTTTATGTTGCTGTCTTGAGTCAGAGTCTCACTCAGTCTCTAAGTTGCTCAGGTTGGGGTTGAACTTGCAGTCCTCCTGCTTCAGCCTCCCAGAGCGCTGGGATTATAGGTGTGGTGGAAGTTGGAGTCTTAGGCTCTGTTCCTCAGATAGCATGCATAACCGTGTTTGGCTCTAAGTTAAACATTGAAAAGCAACAAACTCGTTGTGGGAGGGGGTGTGAGAGAATGTACCTCGGTCCCTCGAACAGTGTTGTTCTGAAGCATCTCTCTGCAGGAGGAAGAGCCCTGTGAGAGCTCCAGTGAGGAGGGGTCGGGGCCTGATGAGCACTTGAGCCTGAATTCTGTTGTCGATGTCGAGGATCTTGGCGAAATTATGAATCACATGAAGAAGGAAAAGGTACCACTGTTGGGGAAATCCACAGCGGGTGACATTTAGAATTCTCTTATGGGGGAGTCCGTCTGAGCTCACAGTAGGTTTAATTTCTCTAGCTTCTGTCTGTCCTGAAAGTTTTCTAATTTTCCTCTTTTTTTTTTTTTGCCATATTTACCTGAGCGTCATGAAATTCTTCCCTCTCAGCTCTGTGCAAAGAGACTCCTAGGAGAATAAGCAGACTTTAGGCCACAGACAGGGTAGATGGCTACTGAGATTTCACCCTGGGCTGCGGGTGATGATGCACGGTAGGGTTAATTTTCATGGAGATTCCAAGTGATTCTGGTTTCAGTTTGCCTCCTCTTTATGTAGATGAGCCGTGTTAGGGCCGGGCATGGCCTGGAAGACTGGGAGGTATTGGTGTGGGTTCTGTGAATGTACAGTGTAGTAGGATTGATGCCAATGACCTGAAATTGAATTAATATGTAATATTAAAATTTAAAGTTTCAGGCTGGGCATTTAGCTCATGGTTTTGCTGCCTGCTGCGCAGGCACAAGGACCCAAGTTCAATCCCCGGTACCAAAAAAAAAAAACCAAAAAATTTAAAGTCTCAATGCAAATATAAGTTTTGGAAAATGAAAACTCCCTAAACTGAAAATGATATCAAGTCCATGATGAGCCTTGGAATAAGAATGAAGTAAAACTTCGAAAATCTGGGAAAATCAATGGTAAAAACACAAATTCAAAGGGAAGAATTCAGCAAATGGCAGGATATAGTAAGGTGAAAACTCAGTCGCCTTTTTGTTTCTAAATAAGAGCCAGTTTCGATCCCCGGTACCAAAAAAAAAAAAAAAAAGAAAATTCCATGAATAATAGCCAGTTTCCATCTGGCTGGAATAAATGACCTCATATTACAAGAGCCACATAAGATACTAATTATATAAGGATCAATTCAAAAAGAAATGTCCTAAACCTATATTGGCGAACTTTAATATATTCCTGAAAGATATCAAAGTGGACTTGAACAGCATGTACAGTGAATATTAAAATAAATTTAGTACAGCAAAAGATAGATTGCCATTAATCTCCCTCAAAATATTCTCCCTCACTTTGAGCACACTTACCTATCATTCTTCCCACTTTCTGAAGCAGTTCTGGAAGTCCTTTCTCGCAAGTGTTTTTACCAAGTGTGGTTGAAAATTTGGTGAGTGCCGCCCAGTGGGAAGGCAGGCTGTGTGCTCATCCACCGTACTCACCGGATCTGGCCCCATTCGACTTCCAGCTCTTCAAAGTCAACGTGACCACGACAGGGAAATGTTTTGAATTGATTCTGAATGTGGCATGAGCCGCAACAGTGCAATGAAAGACACGAAAGCAGACTTCCACAACTGCTTTGTAGAGCGGCAAGAATAAAATGAAAACACTGGTCCTTGTACAGCTCTCAGCGGAGGCATAGGGAAGAGTGTCTCCAGGTGGTAGACACAGAAGGTGTGTTGTAGTCCCTAAGGTCATAACTGATTTAAGCAGGGGTTTGGGTGAAGTGTCTAGGAGAGTAGATGTAAATACATGTAGTGTCTCAAATTATCATCCCAGGAAGTAAACCACTTAGAGATGACAAAAGTGGATGGGCCAGGGATTTAGCTCAGCTGCGCAAGCGCAAGGACCCAAGTTCGATCCCCAGTACCAAAAAAAAAAAGTTCCATATAAAAATAAGTGGATGAATACCCTAAGCCCCGAATTACTTACTACTTACAGAGGGAACAGTGTTGATAAATTGAGAGCTTACATGATTCCCACATACACCAAGCAATCAAATGTAGCATAATCACCAGTAGTAAAACCTGGCCTTAAGGAAGAGGAGCTGTTAAGAATGACAAGTCCTAGCACTGGGGAAGCTGAAGCAGGAGGATTGCTTGACCCAGGAGTTTGAGATCAGCCTGGGCAACAGAGCAAGACCTCCTATTTTTTTTTTTT